CCCGGATTTGCACATCATAGTGATGTGTTGTGGTGACTTGCACGCCAGGTATGAGCGTGGGGTAGAGCACCGTTGGGGATTGTGACTTAGTCCGTCCCGGTTGTTGGTTTTATTGCGTAATTGACTGAAACTACTTGTTATCATCATTATTTGGTTTGATTGCTATATTTGGGCTTCGTGCCAATTGTTTGAATCCTTCAGGGATTGATATCACTGTTTTTGCATTACTTTGCATATTATTTTATCACAGTCCAAGGTTTAAAATACTGTTTCGCAAACTCAGCTATCTTTCTAAGATTTGAAAACCTAAATGATATTTTACTGACGTTTTGAGTTGAGACTGTTATTTTACTATTGCCCAAGGGGCTTATGTGCATTTCTGGACTGAGGATGGATCGGGCTGCGCGCCGCAGCGGTGTGATATTGATATTGCGCTTGGGCTGTAGGAGCCCCTCCGGAGTCTGAACCCCCACAGTGAGCGCGGGTACCCAAATGGATCGGGCTGCGCGCCGCAGCGGTCATATGCATTGCATTGCATTCATGCATTGGTTCCTGTTTGTACTACGTGTCATGACATTTAGCACTCTCATATCATTAGCATCCATGCTATTGCTTGTACTGTTTACCAGACGCACTGGTGTTAACTGTTTGTGGAGTTCTGTGCCCGAGGGGCTGACTTATGTGCGGACTTGCACCATCTGATTACGCATTCATTTGTTTGACTGTTGGAAAAGGATGTTTTCGAAAGAGGTTTTAAACTGAGCCGGATATTTTCTAAAGGATTTTCACGGTTTTACTGTTTTCTCAAAGAGTGGTACTGTCCTATATAGCATGATGGAGTGCTCTTACGTGTTTTCTTGCCTCTCAGTTATTATTTACTCTTATTACTCACTGAGTCGGAAGTACTCACTTTACTCCCTGCACCTCGCGTGCAGTTGCAGGTATTGTTCACCCGGTAGCGGGTTATTAACTGATTGAAGGTATGGCTATTGTAGCTGAGTAAGGTGACCGCCAGCGTTCGCGGCACCGGATGTTGTCTTTGATTTCTAGGATTTTTCCTTATATATTATTATTGGCTCTGTAGTTGTGTTCAGGTTTCTTTAGATGCTCGTGACTTGTGACACCCCGGTCGGGTTGTGTTGGGTTGTACATACTGGTTATTATTGTCGTTAAGCTATATTCACCTATTCGTTTATGTTTAATAAATGTTAAAGAGACGATTTGGGTTAGTTGGCTGGCCTTGTCTTCACGAGAGGCGCCATCACGACCGGGTTTGGAAATTGGGTCGTGACAATGGCAGATTTCAGAATTTCTCCTCTACTTATTACTGAATAGAGGACCATGCTTCTTGTACTGCAAGAAAGTTTTGATTTTTATGTCACGAGTAGTTCTCGGTTATGTAGATTGTGAGAAAGTTGTAATTTTTATGCAATTGGTGGTAAAGTTTGATTCTATTGCTGCAGAGGTCAATTGAAGTTCTGTATATACATATATATTAATTATATATAGACATTGGTCACTGGGAAATGGAAGAAGGTAACAAAGAACTTCGGTTATTGGCCTTGACACCAACATGGTCTGTTGCTTCTGTATTGACTATATTTGTTGTTGTTTCGCTCCTTGTCGAGCGATCCATTCACCGCTTATCTATTATATTTGATCTCTTCAGCCTAGTCTTAGCCTCATATGCAACAATGGCAGAAGCAATGTCAACATTAGATTATGAATTTTTAAAACTTCAGCTCTAGAGCTGAAGTTTCCCAGTTACAACACAAAAACTTCAGCTCCAGAGCTGAAGTTTCCCAGTTACAACACAAAAACTTCAGCTCTAGAGCTGAAGTTTTCAGTTACAACATAAAAACTTCAGCTCTAGAGCTGAAGTTTCCAGTTACAACACAAAAACTTCAGTTAAGTTTTCAGTTACAACACAAAAACTTCAGCTAAGTTTCCAGTTACAACATAAAAACTTCAGCTCTAGAGCTGAAGTTTCCCAGTTACAACACAAAAACTTCAGCTCTAGAGCTGAAGTTTCCAGTTACGTACAACATAAAAACTTCAGCTCCCAGTTACAACACAAAAACTTCAGCTAAGTTTCCAGTTACAACACAAAAACTTCAGCTCTAGAGCTGAACTTCAGGCCCGGCTACTAGAATGCTGAAGTTTTGCGTGATTGCCTTTGCTACTTCGTCCCCGTGTGCTGAAGTTATGCGAAAAAGCGGGTACGCTTGCAATTTTTTTTGCAAAGCGGGCACAAGTTAAAATGTGACACAAAAAGCGGGTATAGATGCAAATGCCCCATCTAGTTATGTTAGAGCTGAAGTTTCCCAGTTACAACACAAAAACTTCAGCTTTAGAGCTGAAGTTTCCAGTTATGTGTACAACACAAAAACTTCAGCTCTAGAGCTGAAGTTTCCCAGTTACAACACAAAAACTTCAGCTAAGTTTCCAGTTACAACACAAAAGTTTCCCAGTTAAAACACAAAAACTTCAGCTCTAGAGCTGAAGTTTTCCAGTTACAACACAAAAACTTCAGCTAAGTTTCCAGTTACAACACAAAAACTTCAGCTCTAGAGCTGAACTTCAGGCCCGACTACTAGAATGCTGAAGTTTTGCGTGATTGCCTTTGCTACTTCAGCCCAGTGTGCTGAAGTTATCCGAAAAAGCGGGTACGCTTGCAATTTTTTTTGCAAAGCGGGCATAAGTTAAAATGTGACACAAAAAGCGGGTATAGATGCAAATGCCCCATCTAATTATGTTAGATTAGAAGGTTCAAAATTAATCAACGGATAAGCTGCTACTATTACTTCAGCAACAACTGCTGTTCCTTAACAAGGAGTAAAGGTGAAATACCATAAATTCAAATTTAATTTTTTTTATGAAACATCAAAATACTTCACTTCATGAGAAAAGTCTTTGAAAAGAATAAACGTTGATGCAGAGATATTCAATAGTTAAATGTCACAAATTGAACGGAAAAAAAACAAAGTAAAAGTGAGGTTCAAGAAATATATTTCATTTCTTAAAGGACTGAAGTGATAATTATCCAACCGTAAGGGGCAGAAACCTCAAACTTTCGTTTTCAAGGTATGATTATTAAAACAACAAAAATGTTCCCCGACGAGGACAATACCGCTGACCGGGAGATTTTGCAGAGGTATACAATGTTTATTGCCCCCTCCTAGAGACGCTTCAACAGCAAGTAAACTTTCAAAACCCCACTTTCTATTTCTATATTTAGCACCATTTTCCTATCTAATATTCAGCTACTGAGCAATTATCTTATTGTATATTTCTTGAGTTTGTGCTTTACGCGAATCTAAATCTATTCCCAGTTTGTATCAGCTGTGGAAATGTCGAAATCATCGTCTTCAAAATTCGTCCTCAGGAACATTTATCAGTACATTTCATCAAACCCCCCTCAATTTTCAAACCCAAATGCTATGTCCACTGGTATTTCTCATTTCCTTTCTAATCATCACAAGATAATCGAAAAACCGTTTATTAATCCATGGATTTCAAATTCTCAAAGAGCCCTTTTTTCGTCTTCACCGTTACCCCGGATTTTGCAAAACCCTAGTACTAAGAAGTTGGACCCAGATGGTAATTTGGGGAAATTATTAGGGTTTAGGTACTTCTCGTTTAAGAGTGGGAATTTTGGGAAAAATGTGTTGAAGAATCCGGTTGTGGCTGCAAAGGACACGGCTGCCCGGTACAAGGGAGCTGTGGGGTTGCAGATAGAGGCATTTTGGAAGAGGAATTCTCTGGTGTTATTTGGCGCAGTGGGTGTTATGGTTTGCATTTTGCTTTGGAGGGTTCTGTTTGGGATTGCTAGTACGTTTATTGGATTGTCTGAAGGCATGGCCAAGTATGGCTTCCTTGCTCTTTCCTCTGCCATTGTCGCATTTGCTGTGAGTTTCTTCTTAAGTTCCTGTTCGAATGTAGTTGATTGTGTTGGACTCTTTTGTTGGTGTTTTCACTTTGATGTTGATGCGTATGAAATATATATGTCATGCGTAAATGAGCATGCATATTTTAGAAATTATATCATTGTAAGAGTTGTTCTTGGTGGGGTTGTGAATGTGCTAATTGTATCATCAGTGCGACTTAGCTGGTATTAATGTCATACTGTGCCTTATAAAAGAGAAGTTAATGTGAGAATTGGAATGATTCTTTGTGAAAAAAGAAAATTATTAGGACTAGTTACTGATTGAAAAGAAGTTAAACTACGAGTATGTCTAGTCCATGAGCATTATTTGGGAACTTACATGTACTGGAGCTAATCTTACTTGTATTTTGCTTTGCATCTTCTGGATGCTTACCAATGAAATGCTTAAAAAACTAGGATATCTTTATTGTGAGGATTCATCATGAAATTGGCTAGTTTTATGCTGCCTGCAAGCCTACCGCAACTCTCCTCCTTTATCCGGACTTGGGAACGGCAATGTGAGCAAGCTCATGGTGGCAGAGTTATCAATGAAATGTTTACTTTATCAACAAAAGGAAGAAAAAAAAACACTAGTTTGTTAGTTAAGGACCTTTTTGTTAGGTAATAATAGAATATAGACGCTGATAGGAACTTGTCAACCTCGCAAATCTAATATTTGGGCCATGAACTTCAAGGCCTGAAATGGTCAATCCAAGTTAACATTCAAACCTGCACATTACATTATGTGGAGCTCCAACTCCTTATACCTGCTTGGTAGTTGGACTAGTTATTACTTATGGAACTCTTTAGGAACTGTTTAGTGCTTTGAACAGTGGATGGTCTATGATTGAAGTCTCCCAGTTTTCCTTCTTCTTTCTATGTCTTAAATTCTTGCTGAAGGAGCATCCTCTGTACTTTTTCTTGATAACTATAGTTGAGAAAACTTTTGCTTTGTTATGTTAGGGCTTGTATCTTCGCTCAAGATTTACCATCAATCCTGATAAGGTGTACAGAATGGCAATGAGAAGACTTAACACAGAAGCTGGAATTCTTGAAGTTATGGGTGCTCCACTCTCTGGAACAGACTTGAGAGCATATGTGATGTCAGGAGGTGGTGTTACCCTTAAGAACTTCAAGCCGCGGTTTAGGGGCAAAAGATGTTTTCTGATTTTTCCAATACGAGGTTCAGAACGAAAAGGTTTAGTGAGTGTTGAAGTCAAGAACAAGAAAGGCGAGGTTTGATTTCAAATGTTTTATATGGTGAAGCCTAACTGTGTCTTTGCAATTTTCCCGTAATACCTGAATATCACATATCATGAGCTTCAAAACTGCCAGTAATTTTCCTCTTTTTTTGTCTAATCGTGCCTAAGTGGAAAATTTAAGGCTTTTATAAGGGATAGTTTTTCGCATTATGAACTAAAAGACCTAACAATAAGTAATAAATAAGAACCCTCAGGGGTTGGCCTGGTGGCAATTGACTTGAGCCTTGGGGTTTGCTCCCTTTCAAGGTCTCAAGTTCGAAACCCACTGGGTGCAAACAATTCCTGAGGGCCATCGGACTGGGTAAAACCTGAATTAACCGTGGTGCACTTGCGGGAAACTCCTTGCCGAGGGCCTGTGCACCCCCGGGATTAGTCGGGTCTCTTAGAGACTCGGACACCCGGTGCAAATCAAAAAAAAAAAAAAAAGTAATAAATAAGATAGATTGCTATAGAGAGAGAGAGATCAGAATTGGTTATAGTGCATGTGGTGGCAAGATCAAAATTTGGTGTAAAATGTAATCTGCTAAATCAGCTCAACTATAGTTGAGTTGAGTTTGATTTTAACTCAAGTAATAAGTTAAAAAACAGGCTTGAACTCAGCCTATGAGGCATTAAGGTTGCCTGCACTGACATTTTTAGTGAGCTTTGTCAATAGAAATATAGGACCTCACACTAGTGTTATCGAGCATTATATTTCCATCTTTCCAGCTAATAAGAAAAGGAACCCCAAAAAAGGAGAAGATATCAATATGAAATTGCAATCATCATAGTACTTGGCTTGGCTGCAGATTTAACCCATTATATCCTGACTTTTCAAATTTAATGAAGCAAGATATTCGTGTCGTGAGCATAATTGCGGGTTCATTGGTTTTATAATCAATTTGAGCTGGATTGTTTAGAGCCCTATAAGACATTGCATCTCCACTGTTAGATTCTCTATTCTTATTAATGGATCTCCTGAAGGATTCTTTCCTGCACACAGAGATTTAAGACAAGGAGACCCTCTGTCTCCTTTTCTATTCATATAAGCAATGGAAGGTCTTAACAATATGGTCAAGACAACAAGAAATTAGGGTTGGATCAAAGGTTTTGAGGTAGCAAAAAATGGAAACATAGTCTGGAGGTTACACATCTCCAGTATGTTGATGACACTTTAATTTTTTGTGATGCAAAAGAAGAGCAACTGAGGTTCGGGAGAATTATCCTGGCACTATTTGAAGGCATTTCAGGACTGCACATCAATTGGAGAAAAAGCCACTTGTTCCCCATCAATGAAGATCCTGAAATGGAAGCAACTGGCACTGATCTTGGGTGGAGAAGTAGGAAGCCTACCTACTATTTACCTTGGTATGCCCTTGGGAGCAAAGTCTAAATCTAAGGTGATTTGGAATTCCGTTATTGAAAAATGTGAAAAGAAGCTGGCTAGATGGAAATCCCAATATTTGTCTTTGGGAGGTAGACTCACCTTGATCAACTCAGTCTTAGATTCTCTTCCAACACACATGATGTCCCTCTTCCCCTTTCGTGCAGGGGTTATTCGGAGACTTGATAGACTTAGAAGATCCTTTCAGAAACAAAGAAAAAAGGGTTGTTCATTTGGTTAAGTGGAAATCTCTTACAATTGGCAAAACTTATGGTGGTTTAGGCATTAGGAACCTGAAGAACCAAAACAAGGCCCTAAAGATGAGTACTCACAGGAAATTGAAACTTTATGGGTCAAGGTAATCAAAGCTAAATATGGAGAGGAAGACAAGTGGGTATCAAAGGTAGTTAATACAACATATGGAGTTAGTTTATGGAAGTCCATTAGGTCACTTTGGCCTGTGATGAAGAGTCATTCTTGCATCAGAGTAAATAATGGCAACAAAACCTCCTTTTGGAAAGATAACTGGTTAGCAGTTAGTTGTTTAAAGGAACTCTTCCCTGATATATATGGTTTGGTTCAACATCAGCATAGAATAATAGCTGAAGTATGGACTCCCCAAGGTTTGGATCTTATATTTAGGAGGATGTTAAATGATTGGGAGGTGGCTAGGTTGACTGAGTTTTACAAACAATTGGAAGACTTTAAAGGGTTACAAAGTGGGGTAGATACACTATGGTGGCAGGGACACAACAAAGGTATGTATAAGGCGAGTTCAGCCTATAAGCTCTTAAACCATTCAAATAAGCAATTAACTAATTGGCCTTGGAAGCATATTTGGAAAGTAAAAGTTCCATATAAGGTAGCTTGTTTTATTTGGCTGCTAGCAAAGGAGGCTGTCTTTACCCAAGACAATCTCAAAACAAGAGGGATTCCGCTCTGTTCAAGGTGCTTTCTATGCGGGGAGACAGCCGAGACAACCGGCCATCTATTTCTTCACTGCAGGACGACAGATCAGCTATGGAAAATCTTTATTAATCTCAGAGGTGTAGCTTGGACAATGCCTAGTAAGATTACTGAAGTGCTTTTTAGTTGGGATGAAGCTGAAGCTGGAGCAAGAGAAAGAGATAGATGGAGGACTGTCCCAGCATGTATTTGGTGGACAAACTGTCTTTTACATTTTTGTTTTTGGTGTAAACAGAGCTACACAGAGGACACTATGTCAATCCTAGATATTCTATAACTTTGCTAGGACTGCATAGCAGAACTTTTCTTTTCTTTTGCCTTCTTGCAAATATGGTTTCAGTACAACCTATGTACTGAGTTGATTAATATACACAAATATGTTACCATCTCAAAAAAAAAAAAAAAAAAAACTTGAAGCTTACCGATTTGGTTGCTAACACCAGATAAATAAACAAAGCAGAAGAATCTGACTGGTTTCATGTTCATGCTAGCCATGCTTATGCTAACCTTTTTGTCTCTTGCTTTTCTCTCTGCAGTATGATATGAAATTATTGGCAGTAGATATACCGATGGCCTCAGGACCGGACCAACGTCTGTTCCTGATTGGTGATGAAGAAGAATACAGGGTTGGTGGTGGTCTAATTGCTGAGCTAAGAGATCCTGTTGTTAAAGCAATGGCAGCAACTAAGGAGTTCGAAGATCGTGACGAGTTGGAGGATGAAGAGGATGCTGAAAGAGAACTTCAAGAAGCGGAGAGAAGGCACCGGGAAGAAATTGAAAAGCTTGAAAAAGGTGATTCGAGATGATTAAGCTGAAGCTCTTTTTGTATCGGTCACCTCTTTGGTTTTACATTGGAGTTGTTTACAAAGGCAGTGTACTAGGTAGAACATCCAAAAACTAACAATGCTCTAACTGTTGAGTTTGCAAGTTTTCCTTACCTCTCTGGTTGAGTTAACAGCTATTTTGGCACGCACAGGCAGGAAATATAGATCATACTCTCAGAAATTTCTGTAATGGTTTGTCATTCGCCAATAAGTATGATATCCCTGGAAATATCAATCCTTAATGTACTTCATACATGCTTTTTTTCATTGTGCAACCTTGTGGGGCTCCTCTTACCAGAAGTAGGAGTGACAAACGGGCTGGGTCGGATATGATTTGGGTCGAAAACGGGTAATGAAAAAACGGATCAATTATCCAACTCGGCCTTAATACGGATAAAAATGGGTTAACCGGCGGATAATATGGGTAACCATATTATCCATGAATTTTTGCATATGATGACTTTTGGGAGAATTCTAGTCTCCCTAACATGAGAATCCCTCAATTTAAGGCTTTACAAATGGAAAAGTTAGACCCAATGGTTACTCATCCGTTATCCATTTTCTAAATGGATTATATGGTTCTTATCAATATTTGACCCATTTTTAAGAAGTTCATTATCCAATACATTCTTAGTTGATAATATAGGTGGTTAACTATTTTCTTTTTAACCATTTTGCCACCATAGCCAGAGGCAAAATACCTACTTTGAGTTGCCATCAAGCGATGGCTAATTTACCTACATCTTTGATTTTCTAAAAATCAGTGTTATTTTTGCATGCTTTCAAGTTGTTTAGTACCATCAGTGATTATTTTCTTGTCATAGTTCATTCGAGCAGATTCTGGCATCTACACTGCTCTTCAGCTGGAAATAAATTGTGCTATGGCAGGCGCGCTGCTACCAAGAAGCAGAAATTACTTCATCATTGCTTCTGCTTTAGTTCTTTTAAATAATTTTTTTTATAAAAGGTCTGTGCTCGACCAACCTAAAAGCACATTCATTCCTTTAATCAGATTTACAGGTACTCGAATAACGTATGAATCAAAGCTTTGCAACTCTCGTTGTAATCTGCATATTTCCTTCTGCGGACCAAGCGCAACTTCTTCAAATGACAAGTTCCATTAGTTTTTATCTGCCAAATAGAACTAGATATGGAGAGGAATCAGAACCAATTCGCTGTCTAACTGGAATACCACATTGGTTTTCGGGGGAAGTGCACGGTTAACCACTAATAACATATGTATTTACTTTTAAGCCACTATTTAAAATGTCTTTAATCTTTAGCTACTGCTTTAATAAACTTTAACTGCCCAGACGAAAATACCCTTCTGCTCATGTCCTTAACTTTTGAACTTAACTTCAGGACTTCAGGACTACATGTCCTTAACTTTTGAACTTGTAACTCTAAGTTCAGGACTTCAGGACTACATGTTCTTTAACTTTTGAACTTAACTTCAGGATTTCAGGACTATATGTCCTTAACTTTTGAACTTGTAACTGTAAGTTCAGAACCAAGTGTGCTTAACTTTTGAGCTTGTTAGTCTAAGTTCAGGACCTATTATCCTTAACTTTTGGGCTTCTTAGCCTAAGTTCAGGACCTATTGTCCTTAACTTTTGAGCTTGTTTGTCTATGTTCAGGACTTCAGGACCTATTATCCTTAACTTTTGAACTTGTAACTGTAAGTTCAGGACCTGTTGTCCTTAACTTTTGGGCTTCTTAACCTAAGTTTAGGACCTATTGTCCAACTTTTGAGCTTGTTAGTCTAAGTTCAACTTCATGACCTATTATCCTTAACTTTTGAACTTGTAACTGTAAGTTGAGGACCTATTGTCCTTAACTTTTGGGCTTCTTAGCCTAAGTTCAGGACCTATTGCCTTAACTTTTGAGCTTGTTAGTCTAAGTTCAGGACTTCAGGACCTATTGTCCTTAACTTTTGAACTTATAACTGTAAATTTAGGACCTATTGTCCTTAACTTTTGAGCTTGTTAGTCTAAAAAAACAAGTAATGAAAAAACAAGATGAAACTAGGCTAACCGGTCAACAATGTCATCAATCCTCTCAGGCCAGTGACATGTCAAAAGAGTAACAGTCCCACCCAAAACATACATATCTACCTGTTCTGAGAAGCAACAAAGCTCACTATCTGTAAACTTGACTTAATTAAGTGCAACGAAGCAATTTAAGGCATATCAGTGGAGAACAATACAGATCTCGTACGAAGTTTAGTAACTCTAAGTGTAAAAGGAAGCATATAGAGAGATGTTCATCCAAGTTCAGACTTGATATCGTAATAAAACTGTTCTATGAATTTGTCTTAATTAAATTCTTTTTAGATGGAAAAATTCAAAGAAACGAACTAATAAGCTCATGACGAAAAGTCAACAGCAGGAGATCTATTTGAAACCTCAACAGACGGCGGTACAGTTCTTCTCCCTAACACATGAAAGAGATAGAAGAAAGGGTAACACAATCTTTTCATATTAATTTTAATAGACTAGTGGCTACTTTTGCTAAGCATTAAAAATGCTGGATAAAAAGTAAATACCATTTTAAAAAGTGGCTACCCCGCACAATTTTTACCTGGTTTTCTGCATGGACATTGTACAATGATGACCAATTGAACCTCAACTAAAAGTTCCTTTAATCAGATTTACAGGTACTCGAATAACGTATGAATCAAAGCTATGCAACTCTTGTTGTAATCTGCATATTTCCTTCTGTGGACCAAGCGCAACTTCTTCAAATGACAAGTACCATTAGTTTTTATCTGCCAAATAGAACTAGATATGGAGAGCAATCAGAACCAATTCGCTGTCTAACTGGAATATCACATTGGTTTTCTGCATGGACATTGTACAATGATGACCAATTGAACCTCAGCTAAAAGGTGTTTACCATCTTTGATTCTTCTTTAGGCATTTTTGCATTAAATGAACTCAAATTAAGAAACAATCAGCAAGTGGCAAAACTCAAAATTTCAATAAAAGGTATACCATTTTTTTCTTGCGGTATCATAAACAAGAATATCATGTAGTATGCCTGAAAAGATGAAAAGACTAATCTCTGACATATCAATTAGGGAAAAAGCAAGTCCCAACAAGTGTAACTGGATTAGGAAACAAAATTTACAAGAAGGGAGTGGATGATGCTATCACAAGATATCCCAATGCGAAATTTACTTAGAGCTGATGAGAAACGCAAAAAATGTTGTATGGAGGGCCTCTCTTCACTACATATCCTATGTGCCAGAAATTGCCTTGAACCCTTCTTTCTCTAGAACTTCAGCTATCGAAATATCTCCAGTCTTCACAATTCTCCCATCCTCCTGGAAAAGTAATCGATATTAACCACTAGAAACTAACAAAACTTAAGGGTGTGTGAAGTAAAGAAGAGAACAGAAACAAGTTTGTTGCAACTAATCATTAGTATGTAAACCCATAAACCCATAATCTTGAGAGACACACATACATTACCCTGCATGGTCCAGACTCTGAGCGAACAAAAGTAAGTGAGATTAGTAGAATGCAGATATATGAAGAAACATGTACTGGTTGCCTAAATATAGCATATGCACATATAGGCAAACGTTTTTACTTCGCGGTATGCGTAAAAGGTGCTAGATTCCTAGTTACAGTCTCAACTCTCCTGTTTTCTGCTCAACATCCAACTTGTATAGTCGACCTTATTATTTTTTGTATCGCTTTGTAACTCTGTTCAGTAGCAATTGCTTACCATGATATGAATATAGGTTGGCTTGATAAACTCTAGCATTCTCAAGTAATGTCAAATGTGTGATCATCAACACAGAATTCTTAAAGGACAGCAGGCAATTTACTGCCTTTGCCACGTCTCGAAGTGCATCAACATCTAAACCGGAATCAATTTCATCAAGAATTGCTAAGTCTGCTCCAAGAACCTGTAGACAAACCGACACAAGTTAGAAAGATATAAAGCATTTGTAGTAAAACGCTTGATCCTAGAGATGAGCTGGAACAACCTTTCCTATGCAATCAAAGGACAAAGTTCTCATAATATGTGAGTTTTAGGCAGTAATAGAACAAAATATCATTCAAAAAATTTGAAGTATAGTCAAAATCAGACAATTATATGGACACAATATAGAACCTTGACAGTATTAGATTCTCACTATATATTGCAGCCACAAGAATAAACATTTACCCCATGTTAATGACAAAGCAGGAAAGACAAGGAACATGGAATACCGCTAATTGCAAAATCTCATTCCGCTTCCTTTCTCCACCGCTAAATCCTTCATTGACATTTCTGTTCAGGAAATCTATCTGCATATTCACAAGTTCAAGCTTTGGGGCAATATGCCCATAGAACTGCACAAGAACAAATGATTATTTTTGTTAGTCTTCTAGCTTATTCGGATATAAGAAGACAACAAGTTTCCTATTGGTGACAAACCTTAATTTTTTTATTCTAACGGAAGGATAACTACCTCAATTGGTCCAAGCTCGGGTTGTAGCATTGTATGCCATATTAAGAAAGTCTATATTGCTCACTCCAGGTATTGCAACTGGAGACTGGAAGCTCATAAAAATCCCAGCAAGAGATCTTTCCTCAGGTTCCATCTCAAGAAGATTTTCACCTTTAAATAACACATTGCCTCCAGTAATTTTGTAATCTGGATGCCCAACAAGAACCTATAGAAATTGAACATAAATAGATGGCTAAGAACAACAGTATCTTAATCTCAGCTGGTAGTTACTGACTTCGCATCAAAGAGGTGTCTTAGTGAGATGCATTTACAAGATACATAAAGTAATATAACTTTCAGAGAACATAAGTTGGCAACCATGTTTTTGTAGATAGAAAATAGCCAAGCCAATTCAAGAATCAACAATAGAAAGCTTTTTATATATTATTCCTGGAACTTAGAGAAAAAGTATAAAAATGAATGTAGTTGCAAATTTAAGGCATAGAAAAATGTGGATACCAAATATTATCATCCAAAATAAAAACAAAATAATAAATTCCATATCTTAGTAATAAAAGAACTAGGTGATACAATCTAAAACAAAAAGAAATTATGGAAAAGCACTAACCTTGGCAAAAGTGCTCTTTCCAGGTCCATTCTTTCCCATTACAGCATGTACCTAGTACAAACAATAATAATCACATCAGAACTAATGCATTCCAAGCAGCTAGCAACCGTGACACAAACGGAAAATGACGCAATAGTTTGCTGGAGACCTATCTGACGGGTTGCTAAATTGAACTGCAAAA